TTGATTTAGTAAACTAAACTCCCAGCGAGTGATTTGGATGCAGACTACATGATGAGATGCAGCTAAGCAAAGGTTAGAGGAAAGTCATGACTCATGTATTCATCTTAGAAAAGTTATTACAGCATTATAATCTCCATTTGTTTCAATACAGCTCTTTGTGATGCTAATCTCTTACTTTCTCTCTTGTTCTCTCTCTGGCACTTTATTTCAAATAATCATCAACTCCCCCATGGAAAGTCTTTTTCTTTGCACTCTCATTGAATGATTAACCTTTATGATCTGGACAGCAAAACCTTTTTTTGCCTCATGTTAGACTCAGCACAGAGGGTCTCTATGAAGAAGAAACAGGATATAAATAAAACAAAAAAAAAGGTTTTTTTTGGGGGGGGGGGCTTTTTTGAAATTAGCCAAATTCACATTTGTACCACTGTGACATCCTGCTGTAAGTTGTGGTTCCTGTAAGGCTGTAAAATCACTATGATATCTCAGATGTGTTGGTATCCTGTTTGGTTGGCACGCTATGAATAGTGTCAGCTGCACACATGGCAGGCTGAACATCAAGATCCAAAAAGGTTTGTGAACCACATGTTGGTTCATAATGAATGTACAACTGATGCATAACCACAACCATGATTTCTCACACATGCACACAGTATAAATCTCTGGACTCACTGTATATTATTGACTTCAGAGAGAGAAACCCTTTTATCCTCTGCGTGGGTAAACATTCAATTACCTTTAAACGAAGACCTTTGTCTTTGCAGTCAGCACTCTAACTTTTGGCTGGCACTCTGCAGATAACTGCTCCACTTTATACCACATATACCTCAAAACAGAAGAGATGAAAAACTAGTTTTCCAAAGTAAATGCAGAGAAGGGGAGCGCATGCTTGTATTTTTGATGGCAGCACAATATTTTTAGGCTCAGAGAAAAGTAGTGTGGGTTGTGGGAAGGGGGCTGAGAGAGAGAAGGGGTCTACATTTCCTCTGGAGAAACAATCTGTGTGTAATTATATATGTGCTGATTGTGTGCAGAGGAAGTGTGTGCCCAGAATTAGGGCTTGGGTGACGTTGCACGTACTGTATAGTGTATGTGTGCGTGTGTGTGTGAGCCATTTGTTTTACAGACGGGGGAAGGATGTGGACTAAGAGGAAGCTTCCTCCTCTCATAGACTTCACAGAGGCAGGCAGGGCTGCAGCTGTGGGATCCTTTGGTTAGGGAACATCTGGCACACAAACACACACAGCCACTCAATGCCTCCGGGCCACCCTCTCAAAATACAGTTGATCCTCCAGGCTGGAAACATATATTGAATCAAAAACATAAACACAGATACACAAACTGGTTGGTTTTCATGCTGCCATGGTAAGACACATGAAAATATTTAGAATCGTTCATGTTACAAATATATTTTCTTTCAAGGGTGTTTTAATTTAGGAGGAGTTGCAAGTTGTCAAATGTCCCACAGAGCCAGGAGCA